TCGTTCGATAATCACCCAAGAAAACTCACATGTTTTGGCTTGGGTAATCTGGCAGTTTTCTACCTACTAGTAAGTTATTGGCTGATTTCTGATTTCAAAAATTGTATCGTGAGTTATTTGGCATCTAATCTATACTATCTATAAGCTATACTTAGTCTATACTTAGTAGAGTGTGAAATATAATAATTGCCTGGCAAGCGAAAGTTGCCAGTTGTTCGTAGAAATTGCTGGCGGCTAACGATCACTGTCTGATGTGAGAGATGATCGTAACAGCCTTTGAACAGGGAGAAGATAAAGGTCCGATATCTAGGCTTTATTCAACATACAAATGGACGACAGGGGCTGAAAAGGAATGAGGGGAAAATTTAGAGGGACGAGTACGAAGTAATTTGAAACGACAAACAAGAGTGTAACATTACACTGTCTTTTTCTCAAATACCCTGATTTGCCTTTTGATATCGTATCGGCATTATAACTGTTAGCCATGATAATGACAAGAGCCACCGCAATCATAGCTTTGGTCGCCTAGATTTTGTTTTACGAATAGGATCACTTAGGGCCACTAATTAAATCTCGCATCCGAACGCTAAGGTGAGTTGTAAATGAAAATGAACTCATATCTATGGATTTGTCTGTGCTGTGTTGTGGAACACCCGTTCATACAGGATTTGATTATAAAGACCAAATCAAAAGTGGTGTCGTTTGGCTTTTTATGGTTAAATACTGATACAAACATAAAGAGCGTGATATTTATTGTGATGTAATGGCATGACTGCGAAAAACTGAAAACGAGCTTGTTCGCCACTCTTTTATTTGGGATGTTCTCTGTGGTACTGTTCAGACAAGTGGTATTATTTAAAAGAAATTCACACCAATTTAGGCTACTCACGTTCATATCTTCATTAGTAACTATTTGAATTTTCGTTCTTAAGGTTTCGTGATCGGTTTACAATCGTCCCCATTGTGGTTGGAAACTTGTCCCCCGAGCGAGAAGCTCTTTATGGTCGAATTCTGGCTCCTTATCTGGCAAACTCATCTAATGTCTTTGTGATCTCGTCAGATTTCTGTCATTGGGGTAAGCGCAATAAAATTGATTCTTACTGTTTCGCCCTGTCTCTTGTGTTATCAGCTTTTAATTTTTCGTAACTGCACATTTTCGATAGCTGAACATTCCGTTCCCTAGTTCCTTCAGTATAAGTGGTATCTACTAAGGGTAGCACATGAGCTGGTGAACCGTTTTGTTTTTTGAAGAATGTGTCAGTGACTGCATCCCATCAAATGCCAGGTTGATTTTAACCCAGGTCTAAAAATATAGTCTGGTCGGTGTATGGTACGTGAAGATAGCTACTCTTCACTAGGTAGACGAGATCTGCCTGATACAACCACTATGTGAGAAGCAGTTATAGTTATTTTTTTTTAAATTTCGTGAAGTGTTTGCTGCATTCTTACATGCGTAAGAATGTTGGACTGCCACTTCCAAATATTTGCTTTATTTTCCATTTCCACAACTGACTTGTGTCACTTTCGCGACGGAAATGAGAAAAGCCAAAATGTTTTCGTACTATAGGAATTCACTATGAGGGAAGGGGACATTCATGCATAAACTGTAACCCGACCTAATAAATCGCGTATATACAATTCTGACTAATCCATACCAACGGATGTTTAGTAAGAATGTTTTTCCTCATTCGTGAAAGCATAATGTGCCATCACCAATTACCAAGGTAGCCATCGAAGTGATCCTGCTAACTAGCGATCAGTTGCGCTTCTTGTCGTTCTCCCAAAAAAAAAATGAAATCGTTTATGACTGATTTCCTGATGGATCGTTTAGGAGAATAGGATGTTCTGTCATGAGATCAATACGGATTGCAATAAAAGCGATCATGCACCACCAATCTACTACTGGAACGAGATGCGTGGACAGAATAAGTTAGCACAGCCGGAGTAGGTTTATATAGACTTCGATAAAACCTTAAATTGATGGAATCACCAAATACTTCTGTGCGACCTCTGTATTTACGGCATTCGAGAACTTCCTTCTTTGTATTGAATAGTTTCTTCCACAACAATACAAATTAGTAATTTACTAATGATCGATGCACTTCATGCGGTTCCACAAACCCATCCTGGCCCTCAACTTTTCCACACTTTCTTTGATCGCAAATCATACTGCTTGCCCGCCATGTTGAGATCCGAAAAAAACATCATAAACGTGCTTGACCAGTACAGGAGACGACGTAATTCATATATGGTCTGTCATCAGCTAAATGAAATATAACGTATAGATTTGCACAGTTGCAGTCGTTTCTGAAAAGGAAGCACTAATACACGCGATATACAAGAAAGACGTACAGCGCAAGGCGTATAACGTCAAGTAGCTTTCAGATAGCCGTATTCAGGAAATATGCGCTTCAGTGCTTGTTATTTATGTCTGTAGGCTTTATCCATGGACCTTGTTTCTCACCTGTCGACGCATCTTTTGCCCCTAGAATTTGGCTGAGGAACGATTGAGATAATGTAATTAAATCAAGCTCATCGAAGGATCTACCGAGAGCTATTTTTTTCCGCAGGGGTCTACAACTAGTTAATCTTAATTAACGCTAGAACAGCTGCAATGTTCAAATCCCCTGGAATTGCCAAATTTAATTGGTTTTAATTTGAATCTCTTTTCGTATTAGTCATTTAGATTACCCGACGTCAAATGTTTTAATTAATCTTCTACTTTTCATCTGTCAAACGAAGCAACACACTATCTGGGGCTATAACCAGGTCGGTGAACCACTGGCAGTTCACCTAGGGCAGATGGCTAAAAATCCTGGTTCCAAACCAACCAAGAAGAGGTGTACCAACCACCCACACCTTTCTGGTCGTGACACGGGTTGTCGGCTCGATTGGGCATCGAGGTGTATTAGGCACCTTGGTCGTTTGACCTCGTCCGAAGGGTGTATGATCCAATCAACCGGCCCCCAATGGATTGCGGACTCTGAGTTCCGTCGTGCTGTCTTACAGGTCGGGCTTTCTAGCCAAAGACTTTGGGTGGAGACCCCGAGGTTGTCCCCTTTCTTCGGCCAGGGCAACCGGGAAGTAACATGCCCACGCAACATATGAACACACATTATACATGTCCGAATTTTTCTCTAATTAACTATGCGCTCTTTGACCGAGGTGTTGGCGGTCGGCTCCACAGATTTTCACGTTACCACCAACAAATCACACTCTTTCCCTTCCTCAATTATTGAACTTTTCTATTCTCGGTTTACCGCCTATTATTTCTAGTCCCCAACAGTGTGTTGCTCAAGTCAACGGCAGAAGCCATATTCTTGTTCCCATGCGAAAGAAACAAACTTCCGATCAGGTTATTCCGAAAAAAGTACTCGCACCCCGGTCGCAGATCAAGTTGGGGACTTTCAACGTTCGAACACTTATGCAAGTTGGGCTTCAGGCGAAACTCGCTCGCACACTGGAAACGCTTGCCATGGACTTTTGCTGCCCCACTGAGACACGGCTACAGGATTCGAGCAGTGTACTGCAACTCGCTTCACCGTCTCCGCGTTCTGCAAGCTCGTTCACCCTCCGCCTCTCCGGAGATCATCCGATGGCAGAGGCCGCTAGTCAGGCCGGCGTGGATATAGTACTAAGTGCACGTGCAGAAGCAGTTTTACTCGACTGGATTCCAATCAATAGTTGATTCTGCGCCATCCGCCTAGAAGTTTCGGTGAGTACATCTCGTAATGGGACAAAACAGCTCTATCTGTTCGTCATCGTGACTTATGCGTCGACGAACTGCAGTCCCGACACAAAAATAGATGAGTTCTACCATCAGCTCACCAACCTCCTCTACATTAGACGACACACTGATATCGTGATACTAGCCGGCGACTTGAACGCACAAGTAGGTAGGTTAGACGCTGACGAAACCTCATTTGGTGGCCAGCATAGTCTCGGTGTTAGGAGAACTGACAATGGCGACCGTCTTCTG